CCAGTACCTGTTTGCTAACAAGCCGGCGCTCAAGCGCACGCCAAGTGGTTCCTGCGCCCCAAGGAGAAGAGCGTGGCCGGGCAGGTGTGCCTCATCACCGGCGCCGGGAGTGGGCTGGGCCGGCTCTTCGCCCTGGAGTTCGCCCGCCGCCGAGCCCGCTTGGTGCTGTGGGACATCAACTCGCAGAGCAACGAGGAGACGGCGGGCATGGTGCGGCACATTTACCGAGAGATCTCCGAGGAAGCCGTGGTCGCTGCCCAGAAAGGTACCGTCCCGTTGACCAACTTCCGAGCGGGTGAGGGGGGGGGGGGCCCTAGATTGTTCAAGCCCGTGCTGTTTTGTTTTTCTTTTTCTTGGTGAGAACAGCAAGGGGTACATGAAGCGTGGTGGTTGATGGTTTCAGATCCTAAAGGCTTTAGGAGTAACGTTCGGAGCGAAAACTAGCCCTCATCGGTTGGGCTGCTGAGCACTTCTGGCTTCACCTCTCATTAGGTTAGCCCTCAGAATTAGTCCTGCTGCGGGAGGTTGAGAGGTTTCTTTGTCTGAAAGCAAGAAGATGCTCCTGCTTCGGAGGGCGCCTGGGTGCTTTACAGAAGAAATGTGCACAAGCCCCCTTTTAGAGCAGTAGTGGACCAATAACATGCACTGCTGTTCTGTAACAGTCTCAGAATGACTTTATCTGCTGTGGTATCAGAGCTTCTTCATTTAAATATACAATACTCAAAAGTTCTTGGATCAGGGGGAATGATACCCTTCATATTTATATTGGCTGGATTGCAGCCCCTGGGAAATGTTCTCAGTTCTCACCCAAGAAGTTTAGAAAGGAATTTGGTCTTTGTTTAATAGGGGATAGAAGAATAAAGTCAGTAGGTACTAGACACTACCTTGATTCAAAAACACATGGCAAATCTGAAATATGATATTTTTGTTTGGAATTGGCTAGGAACTGCTAAATTGCATATAAGTAGAAGTTGTAAACAATCCTAAAGTAAAAATCCAAGAAAACAGGTTGTGGGATGGGAGAGGGAAGGGACAGTTTGGCCAACTATGTATTAAACTCTGATGTTCATCTATTTAATTATTTTACATTTTATAGAGGGGATAAGACAAGGAATAATCCATGTACTTGGTGAAATTAATAGGGCTGTTATATAGAAGTAGGAAAGTGGCTGGAAATATTTTATTACATAGAAGGACTTAGACTTAGGGCTTACAAAATTTTCTGTGTGTTTCACTAGAACAAGCTGGGGGTGCTTTGTGAGTCTATGTCTGGAAGAATGGTAGTTGCTCTGGAGATGGTGAAATGGGAACATACTGAAGTACTGGTTGTGTAGAAATCTGGGTTAAGGATTGTGGGAGTCCTGCAGTATAATTCAGGTAGAAAGGAAGCTTTGGCGTTTCTATTTGATTGTATTTAGTGCAAACTTCTCCATACAAGTCTGTTTGGAAGTATATCCGGTTGGGTTAAATGGTATGTACTCTGAGTCAAACTAGGTACAGTATAGGATTGCAGCCTTTTTAGTTTGTTTACACTTAGCCCATTGTGTGTATACCTAATGAAATAGTTGCAATGCTATTCACATTAAGGAATAAGCCCAGGGAACTTCCCAAAACTTCTTTCTGAGGAGATACACATAGACTGCCATTGCACATTCCCCTTCCCACTGATCTCTGATTCAGATATTCCAGTTTGAAATTACCTGTGGTTCAGCCTTGTCAGTTCTGTTTTGGATTAAAGCCAGTCTGTTCCTTAGTTTTATTATACAGTATATCTCTGTTGAGCACAAATTATCACTGACTATAAGCTTTGTAGAACTTGATACTTCACTGTTACACTGTCTGTCTTTTGGGGCTGGAGGCAATATCCTGTCCAATTGATTCTTATTTCTTGATATTTAAACATGCAAAAATACATCTGATTTGCCTCTTTCATCCTCTGCTTTGCTTGTCTTGATTCATCAGCTGGGCATGGTGAAGAGGAAGTGCTACCTCATTACAACTTGCAAGTTCACACATATACGTGTGATGTGAGCAAAAGAGAGAATGTATACACGACTGCTGAGAGAGTCCGCAAGGAGGTTGGTGAAGTCTCCGTCCTGGTCAACAATGCTGGAGTGGTTTCTGGGCACCATCTCTTAGAATGCCCAGATGAGCTTATTGAGAGGACCATGATGGTTAACTGCCACGCACACTTCTGGGTAAATATTTTTATTTGCAGCGATATGGTCATGTTAGTTTGTTGCAGCAAAAAACATTTACTATGTTGTAAATTTCATGCTTTTGAGAAAGTGGATTGTAGTCCATTAAGATACATGCTATAGGAGGAGGACTCATCATCCAGATGCCATAAGAAATTCCTGGTTCATCTTTCCATGTCTAGTATTTTTTTTCCTAGTAAAATGAAAATAATTTTACAGAATTGACAGAAACCTCTCCCTCTAAAACAACATTTGTGAGTTTTTTACAGGGGATGGGTCTAGCTTTGCAGCTGTCCTTATGTTACTTGCTTGTATTTTTACTCACTCAGCTTGATCCAGAGAATGTTAGCTGTGTTAAATGAATATAAGTGTTGGATACCTATTAATTTCAGTGGGATTTGAATCTAACTAATGTTAAGTAGAGCAGAGACATCAGTAGATTATGTTGTACAGGTAAAATGTTCATGGAGTTTTCATTTTCTCAATCACAGGATTGTCAGTTTTGTGAATAGTTTTGACAGTGGGAGGTCGCTTGGTTCTTGTGAATGACTTCATAGTGCGGTACATTTTTAAACCATATTTTCTGTCCAGGTTGTTTGAATTGACCACAATAAAAGTCTTATACTGAAAATGGAAAGCTAACTTACACCATTTAATATACTTGGGCCACTGAGGCCACTATTTTCTATGGTCACCGCAGTCCAAAGTCCCAGGGAAACATATACCTCCCATCCTTGCTGAGAGCGATGGAACTTTCCTTTGAATAACTTAGTTCTGCTGTACCACCACTGAAGTGTTAAGATATCTCTGTAGACATACAACTGATGTTGCATCTGTCACTAGCAGTGCAATCCTTTGCACACATAGAACTATCCCATTGCACAAAATCTTGTCGCATAACTTTGCACTATCTTAACCTGGACTGGGCTCTAGAAGAATGTAATTTAAAGAAATTGAAACCTACCTGTCTTCCACTTTTTAGGATCTGAGGCTCCCTAGGGCTCCCTTTTACCCTTGGGAAGTCCTCGGGGGCCTTGAAATGAGGAGGGATCCTATACAAGTAAAAACAAAAACAAAACACCATAGAATCATCAGCACCAGGCTCGGCACTGCCAGCAGTGATCTGGCAGTAATTTCTTTACTTGTAAAGGTTTCTGTCTGTACCCCAGGGTTTCAGAAGGTTTCCATGGGGCAAAAGGGCCCCCAGGAAGCCCCAGGACCTGAAAGTAGGGGGATAGGAAGCTTTTAATTATTTTAAATTAAATATTTCTCCTGCCTGAATTGGATTATGCAGTGTGAAGTTAGACCAACAGGATTTTGTGTAATGTCTTCACTGGGCCTTACACAAAGGTAAGTGAGAATGCCAGATTTCCACAGCCGAAAGCCCTGCAGATGTGTTGGACTATAACTTCCACCACTGCCAGCCAGCACAGCTTCAGCTTTTCCCAGCTTGGCTCCTTCCATTTGCTTTGGATTACAACTCCCATTGTGCAAGCCAAGCCATGGTGGTGGGAATGATGGCAATTGTAAGGTGACATATCTGGAGGAGCCTAGATCAGAAAAGACACCCTGGAGTACTGGACAATACAGTTATGTAGAGAGAACCATGCCATTCATTTGCCTACTCTGCTTTCTTGGCTGACTTGCATTAAAAACATTGAAAAAGTGTAATCTTCTTAGGAATTGCATTGCTGCCTGGATGTTCTCAGGATTACTTGAACTGTGTTATAAAATCTACTTAAAAGCCACTGCATATTATGCACAGTGATAATTCCACCATTTGTAATATTGAAACAGTTTTGTCAGCTTTAGGTATTTCTTGAACCTGTCATAAATACCTAGTAGGAAAGCAGAATAATGGTTTTTGACCTCATGTCAAGTATACCCTTTAGAGTCATAATGCATACCACTGGGTGAATTAAATTATGAATTGAAAGAAGGAACAGTTTCAGCATACACTAGTTGCAAAATTTGAAGGATCCTGTTCTGATTTGTTTTACAGATAGAATGTAAGACTTTTTTACACATGAAACAAATTGTATCTGTCTAGTTGTAAAAGCAGGAGATACTGTTAACTGGGTAGTATATCCTTGTGTCATAGCTATAAAATTTAGAGTTCTTGGAAATTTTGTCACTTACGACAACATTACCATTAAAATATGGGAGTATCCTGAACTATCCAGCTGCTCTTCTCCAGTGTGTGTATCAGCAATTATTTATGACCTTGTACATTCTAAAGACTCATCTTAAAATACTAAGCAACAATAAAAAGGTAACAGTGTTTTCCTGTGCATATTTAATCTTTTCAACGGGCTTCACTCACTAGTAAACATGTATAGGATTGAAGCCATGTAAGATGATGCTTTATGCATTTGAACAGAAGGAAGTACCATTGAATTCAGTTAGGTCTATTGTGAAAAAAATGTGTTATAATTAAAATATTAATCATGTTCTAGAAATCCTTTTCATATTTCCTACTCTGCCTTTGAAGTACTCCTGTGATGCTCTCACATTGTTTGGATGGAGTTACTCTGGTTCAGAACCATTGTTAGTAATGCACTAAACATTGTTTTGTAGTCAAATAGTGGCCCACAACTTCTGTACTTGAAGTGTTCTCTTAATAACTTCCTTTACAAAGAAATTTTCCTCTGCAAATGCTTAAGCTTTTATTTGTTTCTCAGCCAAAAACTAACATATGTGCATTTACTTTGTTATCCAAATGTGGATGAACAGCATAAATATCAAGACAAAATGTGAAACATTAGCATCTGGAAATGATGTAAATTAATATGAATGTTATTAATTGAATGAATGCTATTGTTCCAGAGTTTTTAACATGCCTTTTATTAAGACACATGAATCCCGACACTGATCAGCCAGCTAAAATCCTAAACTCTGTTTGTAAAGGTTATCATCTCAGTTCTGAAAAAGTTGAATCCTGCTGAATCCTTAGTTTAAAATATTTTAATGGCCAACATTCTGTTGTGCAGTTATGCAAAAGGTTTGCATTTTAGCAGCAAATCACCATAAGTTATGTAATATCCAGAGGTATTTTCTGTTGCATACAAAGTCACACAACATGGCAGGCAGCACATAATGCAATGCCTACTAACATTTAATCAAATCGCAGAATTTTACCACTAAGAGTTATGTTTGTGCACAAGATTTCAGCCAACATGTTTTATTGCTCCTCCCTTTCTGCAATATGACATGCTTCTATCAATCAAGGGCTATATCTAAGGAATGTATGCAGTTATGCTCACCATTGCTGAAGGAATTCACCAGTAGAAGAACGGGGAGGCATTATTTTTATATCCCTCTCATAGCTCCCCCAAATCAGCTCTGAAGGGTGGCTCAGTGCAGCAGGGGGAGGAATGGCTGAAAATCACCTTGGTTCCTGTAAGTAGCCCCACTTGGATACAATCTTAAGTATCACAGTAGATATACTGCCCCATATCTGGCCATCTAGTTCATCATGGAGAGTACTGCTTTGAATGTGATTTAAATGGGAAGACGTACTTTACACTCTTCAGAAAACAACAAACTCTGTCAGTGATCCATGTCTTCCATGGAAACATGGCCTTCAGTAGCTATAAAATCTTACCTTTCCCCTTCTGATAGTTGCCTTTTGGAACGTAACTGAACCACAGATGCAGCAACCAAGGAAACTGTTGTTGAAGACATATCTTGTTTCTGAGTTATCATCTGGTTATTTATCTTTCTGTATATTTGATCCAAAATCCAATAGAACAGTTCAGTCAGCATACCTTCTAATAATAAATGAAAAATAACTGAAGTAATTTCAGTTGATATGTACCTATAAGTAACTCTGCCATCATAGCACTGATGCCCCATATTCAGAAGATGAATTTGCTGTTTCCATGCTGGCTTTTCCAGTCAGTTGAACTTGTTGAAGTGGAACACTGTCTATTTACTGAGATTGCCTTTTCCTGATTATAGCTGAAACGGGCAAAGCTATCTGAAGCAGAAAGAGGAAGCAGCTGTCCAGCACTCTTTTTTATATGTACATCTGAGTCATAACTACAAAGGGTGGTGGTGGAGAGCAGTGCTTCTGTGTGCATATGGCTGCAAAGAAGGTTACTTGTGATCTATATGGTAGAACATGCAATGTAGCCAAATCACACATAGTGAAAAATAGCAATATTGATTGAGTTTGTATCCTTCGCCCTATGTATATACTACCAAACCCAGAAAATATGATCCATATTTTATCACAACTGATAGTGCCAATAAGATAGTTGTTTATGATTTCGTGTTCTTGTAGCAATGTTGTTATGCTAGTTGTGGGGTATAGATTATGCTTTGAAGAAAACTGTTACAACCCCATTATTGAGAATACTGCCAGTCCTTTGTTCTAAACTGCAATTCTGTGCACACGTACCTACCTATTTATTTCAGTACAAGCCAAGGTTGTATCGTGTGCCTGTTTTATGGTGCAAACTAAGCAGAAGATCTTTAACAAACTGAGCAACATCTAGTTATGTTTCTTGTGGTGTTATACGTAGAAGTCAAATCAATATTTTCAAATTCTGCAGAACCTGGCTGTTGTCTTGCACAAAGGATGGAAATGAATTGCAGTACTTGGAAGACAAAAAGTTATTGTTGTAGAACAGAGATGGATCCTACAGCTATATTTTGCTGCCTAGCTTAGAACCTGCAACCTGACTAGTTCTTGTTTTGGTTTGTATTACCACTGGTGAAGGATGGTTGCAGCAGGAATCTCCTTCTCTGGTCTAGGTTAAGTAAATATCTGCAGGTGATTCAGAAAATCTCATACTTGACCTATGGGCTCTTCCAATGAACTTCAGAGGAACCATTTTTAAGTCTAAGAGAAGCTGGGCATCAGGTATCTGAAAGCTATTCAATCACTAATATAAAACTATAATCTCTAGCAGTGTTGTAGAATATTTTAATATTTTAAAGCTGCCTTTTAGGTTAAAACCTTCTCAAGGCATCTTTCATAGAAGACCAAAATGGAG